TCATATCAGTTCAATTTTTCCTGTAATCGATCAAACACGCTAGAAATCAAAAGATAAAATACTTGCCTAATAATATCATCATATCATGTTATAAATCATTCAATTTCGAAGGGGGGGTGGAAGTGTTTGTCAATTATCAGGTATAATTATAAGGAGGGGGAGTGTAATTTTTATCAGGAGGTGTCTCTAATTAACAAAAATTACCTGATAAATATCGCGTCTCTTAACTCAGTAATATTATATAACCACCATTATTCAGCGATTGATCACTAGAAAGTTAAATTGATAATATTGTTAATCACTTACTATCGATTCTAAATAAAAATTAACATGCGTTGGCAATGTGAACTAGTGTTTGGCACTGGTTAATATTTAACCGGTTAACTGACAGTTTGATGATTAACCGGTTAACATTTTGATAAATGATTAAAACTATGATTAATTAACCGGTTAATTAATCATTAATCTTGTCAGTTAACCAATAGTTTTAACCAGTTAATTAGTAATTTAACCAGTCCAGTTTATTATAAGGAACAAAGAAAGATTTAGTGTTTGGCACCGGTTAAATATTAATCAATTAACTGTTTAGTAATTAACTGGTTAATTATTATGTTACACATTATATTATTTTTATATTAATACCAATATTATTACAATTAGCAGATCATTTTTTCACTTTTTTCATCATGTCTGAAAATTCGAATGATGATGATGAAAATTTGAATGATGAAAATTCTATTGCTACATCTTCTATTAATACACAAGTTGTTAAGCGTCAACATATTGAATTACCAAAGCAAAAAAGAGAACAAACTTCATGGGTTTGGACATACTTTGAAAAACGTAATAAAATGCTTTATTGTAAATACAAAGACAACAATGAAGTTCGCTGTTCAGCAAAATATAAATTAAACTGTTCAACAAGCACTCTAAGTTATCATCTTCGACATGTACATAACCTAGTATCTGGATTATTTAAAAAGGTTTGTTATTTTTTTAAATTTTTTTATTAAATACATGTACAGTATTAAAATTTTAATAATATGTGCGTAACTAGAATAATGATAATAACGATTATTAACAAAAAGTTGATGATATGTTCAACAAAGTTGTGCCACATAAAAAAGCCAAAATGAATCAACTACATCAAGCAGTAACAGAATGGATTACAATCGATAATCATCCATTTCACATAGTCTGAGGTAAAGGATTTGTACGTATGATACAAGTATTTGATCCAGTATACAGAATTCCCAATAACAAAACATGCAAGAATTTTGTTGCTGAAGCATATAGCAACAGTCATGAAAAAATAAAGATATTAATTGATGAAACGTGTAAATTTGCCACTATAATAACAGATTTATGAACAGCTCGTAGCAAAATTGGATTTATTGGTATAACATGTCACTGGCTAACTCCAAAATTTGAAACGATTGATATTTT